TGTTCTTATAAGGTGTTGAAAATGCTAAACTTTAAAAATTGGAGTTGCTATTTTAGGTTTATATTACATGAATATCTAGAATTTGAACCTAAAATCTTATTCTACATAATTTTCCATTTTAATTCTATTTTGTGCTATTTATTATAACAAATTCCAATTTCTACCATAACTTTTTTCTTTGGTCGAGACATATAAGCTAAATTGTCAAAACTCACTATTTCACTCTAATCATTAGTTTCATGCTTCCCTCCTGTTTCATTGACATACGAAAGCATATCCCAAACACATTTAATATATAGGAATCATCCATGTACCATGATTATTTTCCTTACTTGGCCGAGAGTTCAGTTTTAGATTACTTTTTGCATGGATTATGCTATAGGAAAATAGATTTAAAGCATGTTCTAACTATCTCTTTTGCTTTATATACATACATTAATTCCTTGAGTTTATATCTCCACTTCCTAAATTCTTCCTAAGCCGGGGCTAACATGATGAAAAAACAGTCACCATATTTAAGTTTTATATAGTAAAAATATATAAACCAACATAAAGAGCACACTAATCCCTTCAACTTAATCACTTTACTTTGCCTTGTTCCATTACTGTCTACTCATGTTGCAACCACTAAACACAACCCATGGAGAATCCAAAACAACCATATCAAGGCCCTTCAAAAGCAGAAGAGAATTTTGGTGAAGAAAGCACCTGAATTTGAAGCAGTTTGATGGAGATTTTTGCTTGTGTTTGTCTATGATTTATTTTTCGGCTATTCATCTAAGGCGCCATTTGAGACCTTCGAAAGAGAGAGAGATATTCTGCGCGCTTAACCTAAAAATGAATTTGTCTCAAGGGAGAGTAGGTGGTGGCAAAGGATATTAATAAGCATAAAACCGGATGCTCGAATCATCAACCAAAACTGTTAACAATTCAGTTTAGACAAAAAAAAGAAAAAAAATCATTTTTATGGTTAAGCTAGATTATATCAGAGTTGAACTGCTATTGAGACAGAAATTGAAGTTAAACTAGAAACTGAAATAATTTTTAGAAAATCAAACAATTCTAAACATAATATTAAAACAAGCTTAAATTTTGTTAGAAAAAGAGAAAAATTCAAACATTAGTCTTATGCTAAAAGTCAACTTTATTTTTAAACAATTTACATGTCTATAATATAATTTGAGACTTTTTTTTTTAAGATGATGATAGAAATAGATATAAATGCAGACACTTTTAGATCTACTCATAATTAATTTAACTAATTATCCATTTATATTTGACAAGTTATAAAAATTATAATTTATAATATTATTTATTTACATTCGTGTAACTAGAGATATTGTAGATTAGTTTCTTACATTTATTTTATATATACAATTAATATTATTTTTATTTAATTATAATTACATCATCAGTTTGATCACAAGTCCAATCTGTTATATCATAAAAATTAAAAATTACTAACTTTTCTAGTTCAACATTCGGTCCAACTTTAAAATCATTAATAAGGGAGGACATTTGGCTTAATTCCTTATTTTGACACATCATAACCTTATTTGCCATCCTTCATCTAATTGTGACACCTAGCTAGTCTTATTATTGTCACCTAATGTTTTTTAATGAATCCAAAAGAAAGAAGAAGCGGTGAGATGATGATTAAATAATAGAACTGAGCCAAATGTTAGGCATTGTCAAAATTCACTAATCGTTGAAATAGTAGAAAGCTCTCAAATTACTTTTGCATGGGTATTTTTTAGGTCCCTTTCATTCTAGCTCGTTACTATATTTCTAACATCATCTTCCTAATTTTTTTTCCTTCTGAATTATCAAGATTCCTTTTTGTTTCCTTTAAAGTCTTTATATAGCCTAAGACTTCTCCAAAAAAGCCTCTATAATCAGATGTTACCATATAGCTTGCCATTGGCTTGTCAACTGAATTTATATGGCAATCTTTTTTTTTTTTTAATGATAACTGAAATTCATAAAAAGTCAGCAAATAGGACACTACAAAGAAACAAATACAAGACCAAAGAGAGTCAACTCAATCATCATACACCTCCTAATCTTGTTTTCGTGCCTGCATATTTCTCTATGTTTTACTTCTCCTAATTTTTAAATTTTGTTTTCAAACAAGTCCCTTACACTCAAATTTTCATTTATTTGTGCATGCATGTCAAGGGAAAAAAAACTAGTAAAATGATCCTTGTGAACAATCTCTCTATCAATTCTCAGGAAAAAAAAAAAAAAAATCCTATATACGCGCGCGCGCGCGCGCAGTTGGTGAGACTTTCCAAAACATTCGCGTGAACAGTGGGAACCACAACAAAAACTTGATGGGAATATCTATAGAAGGAGCTGAGTTGCCTCTGGTGAAGAGGGTATGGAAAGAGACTAAAATGATGTGGATAGTAGCAGGTCCAGCCATGTTGACTCGCCTCTCAACCTTTGGCATCGATGTCACGAGCCAGGCTATTGTTGGTCATATTGGCTCCAAGGAGCTCGCTGCCTACGCTCTCGTCTTCATTGTTGTCAGATTCACTAATGGTATTCTGGTATGCTTTCCTAAATTCATACCTCCTTTCTCCCTCTTTGATTTATTTCCCTAATGACTTGTCCAATATTGTTGGTATTCTTGGAAAGACGATATTGATATCCTGTCTGATAATGCTCTCTTAAATCTAGTTCGGAATGGCCAGTGCATTGTCCTCTCTGTGTGGACAAGCATATGGGGCCAGAAGATATGGCATGATGGGAGCCTACCTTCAACGATCATGGATAATCTTATACTCCACTTGTTTCCTTCTTCTTCCCTTGTCCTTGTTCACCACACCAATTATGAAGATGTTAGGCCAGGATGAAAGCATTGCAGATGTAGCAGGAACTATTTCTCTCTGGTTCATCGATCGCTATCATGTTTGCCTATGTCATGTCGTTCACCTTCCAGGCATTCCTGCAATCTCGGAGCAAGAACTTTGTTATATCATTCTTGGCTGCTTTCTCTATCTCAATTCATGTATTCCTGTCGTGGCTTTTGACTATGAAATACAAGTTTGAGATACCTGTTGCAATGATTTCAGCAGGTTCTTGCATTTTGGATGTCCAACATTGGCCAATTTATATTTGTCATACGTGTTAGGTTTCCTGAAACGTAGAATGGTTTCTCCCTTTTGGCCTTTAAAGATCTGTGGCCTCTGGTCAAGCTCTCTCTTTCATCAGGTGTCATGCTGTGGTGAGTGTATGATGAAGGGCTGGTTTGATTATTTTTCGAAAGAGAGCACAAGCAACAGCTAACAGGATTTGGGTTTTCTTAATTTCTGCTGTCTAGAGCACTGGTATAGCACAATATTCATTTTTTTAACCGGAGCATGAAAAATGCAGAGGTTGAAATTAACGCTCTTTCTATTCTATATGGTAAGCATTCTGATGAATCATTTTGGCATCTTTTGCTCCTCGTTTATGTTGAGTTGGTTGCGTGAATGACTGGTAGATAGGCTAGTCACCCTCTAAAGATGAAATCCTCACTTCTTTCAGCCTCAGCATCAGTGGATGGGGAATGATGATAGCCTTTGGTTTTCTGGCTGCAGCTAGGTAATGGCAGCCTTTCTTTCTTTCTTTATCCCTATTGTTGACCAAGTCATTATTGTATCTCTCAGTAATTGTCATTTTATATATTACCTGCAAAACGAAAACCGTCACATCCATAAATGCCAAAGGTTGATTATATATCTTCAAATATACAGTGGTAGAGTGTCAAATGAGCTTGGGAGAGGGAGCGCCAAGGCTGCCAAGTTCTCAATAGCAGTGACGGTGGCGACATCATTCACGATAGGGTTCCTTCTGTTTTTATTCTTCTTGTTCTACAAGGAGACACTTGCTTACATATTCACTAGAAGTCAACAAGTGGCCACTGCAATTGGAGACTTGTCACCTTTTCTCGCATTCTCTATATTGCTAAACAGTGTTCAACCTGTTCTCTCTGGTACGAGACGTTCATATTTTTACATCTGTTTCCTGATATAGTTCATTTAAGTATTTAACAGTGAGTCAATGACCAATACTTTAGGACTGTATTGGATCAGTGAAAATATCATGTGATCAGCTGAACATTTGAACAGGGGTTGCTGTAGGAGCAGAGTTGCAAAGCATCGTGGCATACGTGAACATAGGGTGTTATTACATAGTAGGAATCCTGGTTGGAGTTGTATTCAGTTACGTTCTTCATATAGGTGCGTGACTAATAACAATTTTCTTTAGAGCCTCCTCATCATGATATATAATTAAGCTTTTGAAGATCGATTATGGCATCTTTTAATTTGCTGGGAATATGGATCGGTATGTTGTTTGGAACATTGGTTCAGACAATTGTGCTAACAATTGTTGCCTACAAAACTGATTGGGACGAGCAGGTATGTGTACAGAAGCACTTCCACTTCTTTTATTACTGCGATGTTTTGTAGCTAGATGAAACAACTATGATAACGTGAAAGATGATGGTGTGATATTATCACTTGACTATAGGTCGTGTTGGCTCGACGTTGCGTTGATAAGTTCTCTGTGGACGATGAAGAAACAAACACGGCCACATCTGATGTAAAATTATGGTTTTAGACAAAGGCATAAGGGTGTTTCAATAATGTAACTAGCGTCCCCAGAGCTTGATGCATAGTACAGTCACAACTGAGAATTTGGTAAGACTAATAAGATAATCATTTGTTGTATATGGGTCGTCATACTTAGTCATATGACATCCCAGTTCCACAAAATAAAGCGGATGCTTTCCTTAACATGCATGCTTTATTTATATACTTTTCTGAACGGAAATTTTTTTTATTATATACATAAATAGTCCCATGTTACTTTTTTTTTTTCAGAGACAAGTCATCATTTTCGAAATAAATGATAAACAAAATCCCATATTGATTTTATAACATCAATGTCTAATAAAATTTTCTCTATTTACAACAATTAAATTTTATACTTTAATTTTAATAACATAGAAATAACAAACATTAAAAATATATTAATCAATAAAAAATTCAAACCTGTTCAAAGAGAATCATAAATAAATCTGATTCTTTCACCGACTTGTTACATGATTGGTGATTCCAAACACCAAAGCCTGTCACCGCTTGAACCCCTCGTCAGAATAAGAATCGAAATCAGTCCCATTCACCACCCCAAAAACCAACAAGACAAAGGGCATTCAAGTCATTTAAAGGCTACAATCAGAATTCATGTTAGAGAAGCAGCTCTTCGATAAAACGATTTAATGAGCGATGGTACAAGTACATATGCTGGTGTACAGGGTGTATGATAGAGCCTGACATAATTCAGACCGTATAAACTTGATTTTCAACGTTATTCTTTTTTTCTTTTCTCTTTTGTTCTTCTTCCAAATTACCAAATGACAAAATGAACAGCGAAAATCATCTCAATAGGTTGTAAGCCGGCAAATCTTTTACACTGGAGATATCTTCAAGGGCAAGCTCACGCTCTAACTGCGTCCTAGTGGCCTTCAGAACATCCTATTATAAAATATGTTAAATATGAATCACCGAATGATCAAGTCGAAAAGTAGGTAAGGAAAACAAAAACAATTCAGAAAGCTATAAAATTTTACATTAAATTCCATATAAGAAGCACGCTTTGCAAGCCACTGAGCATCCATCATTTCAAAGGCAACACAATAAAGGTTGTCAAATGCCATTTCATCCTGCTCAAGCAAATGAAGAAAACGGATTCCCGTCGAAGAAGATGGAATCTCTGCGAGAAAAATATAAATTCGTCAGTTGTCTTACATGATATATGTAAGTGCTGAATACCCGAGGAACATCTACATTCACAGTGCACAGTTGAATAGATTAGGATTTGAACTAAATGCTACCATAGAAATAGAATTTCGAAGGATCTTTTTTGGGTCAGCATTTCACTAGATGCCCAAAGTTAGCAACGATTATGAACAAAAAAATGAATTAATAAGTAGTTTCTCAATCATTATTGACCTCAGCTCATCAGTACACTCCACATTTGTGAAAGCATCAGCTATTTTTTATGTTCAATTATATATAAGCGGCCATGATGAGACTCGAGACAACAATCGATCCCATCTTGATTTCCACCCATAGCAGACACGGGGAATATGACTGTTATACTACCCGATTTCCTATATAAAGAGAATTCATGATACCTGCTTGGAGATCTAGCATTTGAGCCAACATAAAGGAGATATTAATTCCAGCAATGGCAAATGGATATTCCCACTCTGCTCTGATTCCATTATCTTTATGCAACAATCGCTGGAATGATTCCTGTAACAGTGCCAAACAAATGTCATTCATTCATTGAAAAGCACACTACCAAATATGCAGCACAATACGCAGAATTGCCATGATCAAACAAAGAGGAGCATGTATTAAACATGCACTGCAGTGCACAAACATTTATTGGTCAAAATATAATGTTGATGCAAGGAGGGAAACTTACCGGATACTTCTGCGCAAAAAAAATTAGATTCTCTAATGAAATGAATCCACCGCCCCTGCCAAATATGTTGAAAAGTTGACATAACTCATTGAAAACAAGAAATTACATCAGCCAAAAGGCTTCTGTAGCTACAGTGATCAAAGCTATGTCTCAGAGCCACTATGAAAGATCCATAAAATCTTTTAGTTTTATTGGCTACTCTAAATTCTAAAAATTAGTAAATAACATCCCTTCCATTATATAGTAAAAACTATCAATGCTTTCTTATTATCCTATACATCCATAGCCGTTCCAGCCATGTTCAATTTAAATTTAAACACATACCTAAAATCTGTTGAAGGGTCAACACCTTGCCATCCCATTTCTTTCCAAAGCTCTGACTTAAGTCCAGGAAGTTTCCTGTCAGGGTAAGCCAGTGTCCATAATTGTTTGAGCGCATCCTGTAACGCAAAAACATGAATCAATATATAAATGACTTAAAAAAAAACTCATGCAGGTAAAAAGAAAGGATGTCTATTCATTATTGTATGATGGATTCTCAGAAAATTCTACCAATAGGCACGGTTGCATTTTATATTTATAACATGCAATAACGAAACAATTTATAAATCATCATCCCTAGCAAACGCTCAGTTAATCTCTAGTGAAAAACAATTTGAAATAATAAGAATTCTTTCACCCTAAGCACGTTGTAAGTTAGGAAGTTAGCAAGCATGCATTCAGCTAAAAAAACCCGATTCTCTATATAGCTTCAAAGTACAGCAAAATAAAAATTTCCATAAAAAACCACCCAAAAAAAAAAAATCTCCGTCCATTGGAGAGAACATGAAGATGGCAGACTCAGCACAATAAGCAGAATATTGAACAGAACCAAATGCCAGAAATGGTGGTTTCTAAATTCAAAATCAGGTGATATACATACTTGATGCTCTGTTTTAGAACTGTCAAAGGGTACTTCAAGCCGTTGCCGTAAATTTCTGTGTCTTTCTTGCTAAGAAAAGAAAACATGAAAAATAATCATATATAACACATGGAAGCAGACACCCTGAAGTGAACTATACAGAATAAGACATCAGAACAGTACATTCTTTAAAGACACCATTCAACAATCTAATGTTTGCAAAGTAAACATCTACAATCTAATTATTTTATATTATCCAGTACATACATGCATAAACATAATACTATATGTTTAAGTTAAGTGAATTTGATGGGGGATAAAGACAGAATGCAATTGCAAACCAATGGATGTTCAAACACAAAAGCTGACAAATGTTGAACAAGATTTCATGCCAGCCTATCCCAAAATTAAATCCAACATGTCCCACATGTTTGATATAATATAAAATATGAGATATTTATTCAATAAACTAGGCCCTTCAAGTGAACAATCTATGGAAAAAGGGTCAATTTTAATCAATGATCATAATGGCATGTATGGTATCTTATAATTTGAACAGCATCAATAATCATTAATTTTTTCCTGATCTTTTCTATCATTCAAAAGCTACAATGAGAAGCACTGTCTTAAAGAACCCAGTTCTCACCATTGTTTAAACCATGTAAACAAAAAAGAATTCCCATCTGTTTGGAAGTTTACATGGAGTGAATAGAAAGACAGCCGCTATAGATACTTAATTACACTATAGACTTTTTTACAATTATACTGAAATATAGGGGTTTCTGACTGAATCCAACTCTGCGATATGCATTTATGTTTCCTTTTTCCAGGTTTTCTTCAGTCATAACTTTTCTGATAAGGAATTCTCTACTAAAAACGAATGCATTCTTAACACGAGCCAAATAAAAAACAAGAATTTCGAAGTTAGAGAAGGGACAGGAACATGATATGAAAATTTAAATATAGATAATAATTCTATATTCATAATTAGGCTTGTCGGAAGAAAAAAGTGAAAGTTATCTATTTGAAAGCAAATGCATTCAACAGCACAATAGGTTTACAACAAAAATTAAAATCTAGGATATTGGATGATGACGGATTAGATTACAAGATTCATTGGATAAAAAAATCCATTGATAACTAAATTTGACGCTCCCTCCCTTGTACCCCCAATTTAGGAGGAACAAAAATTAGTATTAAGAGGGAAGATGAGAAGAGCTTCCCCACTTTGCTTCCCTTCACTCATTTTAAAAACTTCCAAAAAAGGGGAAAATCCCATTCCATAATTTCCTGTTTCATTCAATAGATTCTCATACATTCAAATGCACAGTAAGATTATCAATATGAGCAATACTAATGAAGAGCATACAACCACTTCATTTAATCAACAACAATTGTTGAAAAGAAAATGAGCATATTTCTTCCATGGGCTCTGAAAAGCAAATGCAACAGAACCAACATTCGGACATAATTACTAATACCTGCAAAGGGCTAAGAGAAGGAGGAAGAATCCTATTGTTTTCTCTATTTATAACAGTAGAAGGAAGTGATACAAGTCGCCCAATCAATGATCCTGATCCTAGCACAATATTTGCTGCAACGACAATATGAAATAATTAGATAGAGGTTACAACATATAAACAATGCAGAAAGAACCAAAAGAGCGATACCTGCTGCATTTTCGTATTTGTACATCACTCAACAATAAGGCAAAGGTGAAATAACACATGGAACAACAACAAGAAGAACAAGTCTTATCTCACTAGATGAAGTCGGCTAAATGATTTGCACAACACCATTGTGATCTATCAACAACCAAATCTTTGGGTAAATTATTAACCAAAAGGTCTTGTTCAACAATTTTATTGAGTCTTCTCTTTGGTTTTCTTTTACCCCTTTTCATAGGGCTCAATACTATATGTTCTACCCTCCTCATCGGCCCCTCCCACAACCTTCTTTGTATATGTTTAAACTATCTTAAATGTTTTCTACCATTTGATGCCACGCTCACTTTTTCTTGTATATGATTATATGAATCTTATCTTTTCTTGTACACCCACACATCCACCTCAACATCCTCACCTTTGATATCCCAACTTTATGTTCTTGTTGTTTCTTTAAAACCCAACATTTACTACCATATAACATAGTTAGTTTTATAGCAGTTTGATAAAACCTCTCTTTAAACTTATTAGGTATTTTTTGCCTTTCTCCATTTGCACCACCCATTTTGAATTCTATGCACAACATCCCTATCAATTTCAACATTATTTTGAATAATTGCTCCCAAATATCTAACTTGTTCACTTGTGGTATGATATGATTTACCAATCCAACATCCAAATCACTACTAACACATGGAAAAACATAGCAAAAATATTACGGATTAAACCTCAGATGAGACATAACAACTTAATGCAATCTAAATATTATAGATAAATAAGATTTTTGTTTAATGGGAAAACGAGGGAAATATCACATTAGTTGCAGTTAATTGAACAATCACGGTGTGCCAGCAATCCGGTAATATTAACAAAAATGAAATAATTCAATACCATACTGTCACATGCATAATTGCAAGTTTGTGAAATAAGCCCAGAAAATCACACAGATATACCTAACCACTGTGCCCATTGCGCTATGAGTTGTGAAAATAAGAATGTCCAATGAAACTGCTCCTTCTTTTTATCATCCCATATATCTTCAAGTGCAGATAACTATAATAAAACATAAAAGAAGTAACATTGAATAAAATGATGAAAATAATTCTAGAACGAGAAGTCAGAAAATTGAATCCTTGAATGGTTGCAACGAGAAAAGCAGCTTTTACCCTCTCACTATAATCGTGTTCCCCCAGGAGGGGCTCACTCAAAGAATCTATCCCTGAAGTCTCAAAATGCTGACGGCTTTCTCCACCGACATCCCCATGATGGAGTCTCCTCCTCAATGTTCTTGATGACATTAATATGCTACTCAAAACAATCAAGGCTATCATCAACATTTTATCGGTCGAAATTCAGTAAATCCATTCCACTTGCTAGACAAATCTTTTATCAATCCTGATAACAAACACTCACAAAAATGTTCAGATGCCGAAAATCATCTTAAGTAAAGACTTACTCCCTCTAATTTCGCTACTCCCAGGAAGAAAAGGGGAGTAGAGCATCAACTTATTCCAATTGAACTAAAGTTCAGCGGGAAATTATTGGTTTTCAAGATATGATAAAAAAAAAATCAGGACCATAAATGAACCCTAAAAAAAAGAGAGAGAAAAGATTTATAGCCCTAAACTCACAAACCAAATAGATATCACGGGAATCCTACTCAATTTGACAGAGAACTCGAACACCGAAATCCGAATGCGAATCGACGGAATTGGGACTCTTACCTGAGAAATTTTAGAGGATCGAGTTCGAGAGGCTTAAACAGGAAAAATAGGAAAACTGAAGGAGCCAACAGTGGGCTTCAGCGGTCACTTGCTCTCATGGCTTTCTTTTCGTGCTTCGTAAGTTGTAGATGTGATTTTCGGGTAAATTCTGACTTGCGCCAGCGCCCACCGCCACCGCGAACACGTTACCTAAGCTTTTCTTTTCCTCTCTCTCTCTCTCTATTTTTTTTTTTATTTGGTTAAAACGATTTCTTGCTTAACTTGAAAAAAGAAACAATTTTGACAGAAAGGTGCAAAATAAAGATTCAACCGTTGCAATGGCGCACACGCCAATCACGTAAACTCACGTAGCTCGGAAATAATACTCCCTCAATAGGGGTGTTCACAGGACGGGACGAAACCGGGACACCCCAGTCCTGTGGCCTGTTCTGAAAAATGATCGGGACTCAAAATTTGTCTCGTGTCCCGTCCCGTTCCGAAAGCTGTCCCGGCCCGAAAAGAGTCGGGACGGGATCGGGACGTCCCGAATGCAAATCAACGAGATTGTTACAATCTTTTAACTTATTATTTGACAAGAAAAAGCATATGTTACATTAATTAAAACTCCAAAAAAATTTAATACAAATTTCATTATGAATATGGTTGATCATAGAAGTAATGACTGACTAAAAGAATTAAATCATATAAATTAAATTTTGTTCACAACTCAACACACAGATCTTTTTCTTTGAAAATATTTCTTAACAATATGCTGATTTTATGGAAGATTTGGAGAGAAAAAAATTACCTCATACTGCTTCCATTTGAATGGCACTTGAATTCTTCCCATATTCTCAATTACTTCAAATTCCTTCCCTGCAAAATCATATTGAAATAAAAAACTCAGTCTTGCTATTCGCCTGTTCCCAATCATAACTAGACTTTTCACATTTTATTTAATAAGTCCATCTTACTTTAGTAGACACTTCCACATGCTTTAACTGGTCCATGAACATCTCCTAGAAGCCATACATTATTGAACCATTTCTTAACACATAGATCAACCAGTGATGCCGCCATCTTCCCCACAAGAATATGCTTAGTCATATAGAAAAAAATTTAAAAAAAAAAAGGAGTATCTTTATCAAAGCATATTGTAGAACTTAAAAGGGAACAAGAAAGAACTAATTAAGTCTAAAACAAAGAACAAATACATGCTTTTGGAAACACCAAGATTTCTCACTAAAGAAAATACCAAGATTTCCCACTAAAGGAAAAAAAAACAATAACAGAAAATCAAATTAAATCAAGTCTAAGAAGAGCATTTAGCAGCAACATTTAAAAGAAACAACAACAATAATTCAACAAATACAACTCAACAAAATGAGTAACTTCCAAGCGATAAGTGCAACAACAAGTGAAGAATCAATAACTTAAGCCCTAAGTACAACTTCATCTTCAAGTCATTGCTCTTCCTCTTCAATTGAGATATTTGAAGCTAATGATTCTTCTGAAAATAAAACAATAAACACAATATAAACAAAAATTATTAAATATAGATAAATAGGAAGTTAAATCATATTAAAAGAAATAATCAATTATAAAAAATGATATTACCTTCCACAGCTTACTCTGTATCGTTAAAATTATCAACATCAACACCCTTTAATTTTGCAGTTGATGGAGATAGCCAGTTTTGGGCACAAATTAGTGCTTCAACCATCTTTGAAGATAGGGAGCTCCTAAAATCATCAATTACACGACCTCCTGTGCTAAATGTAGATTCTGAAGACACAGTAAAAACAGGCATGGCCAATACATCACGTGTAATCAATGAAAGGACTTTATATTTAGTAGAATTCAATTTCCACCATGTTAAAATGTCAAAATTTGGATCAAGTGCTTCAGCTAACTCGTCGTGCAAATACTTGTCCACCTCTGCATACTTATCTGCTTGAACCTCAATCTCTTTTTGGGCAAGAAACCTTTGAAATGAAGCCTTAGACCTAGAACTTAAGAAAGTTAAAGGCCTACGATCTGATCCAAGTGATTGAATCAAACTACTTTTACTTGCTGCTTGTGTCTGACTCTGACTCTGACTTTGAGTCTGAGAGGTGTCAACCCCACTTGAATAATGATCAAACAAATGATACAAGACATCTGAGACTTTTTTTGTCATAACTTCACGTTGTGTAGCCTCAGGAAACATATCCTCAAAAGTAAATTGCAAATATTTCATTTATATACCTTGGGTCAAGTACCACTGCTACTATAAGCAAAAGATTAAGTTTCTCTAAGTTCCCCCAATACTTATTATACTTGGTCAACATGCTCTTAGCCATATCATAAAGCAAGGAATCATGATTGTTTGCACTTTCATATAAAATTGCAAAGACATCAACTATCTGTTGAAAACAAACATTTGAGGTCACATAAAGTGATCCTGAAAATTGCAAAGTAATGTCATAGAATACCTTCAAAAAGATCACAAAATCTTTTGCATCCTTCCAATCATTTTCATTAGGGGGCCAATCAAATTTTTATCCAAGAAGAAGTTTTTATAATCATTATCTTGCTGCTCCATCCTCTCAAAAACACTGCAAAATTTAATTACGCTCTCTAACATGGTGTAAGTTGAATTCCATCCAGTTGGACAATCCATGCTTAGTAGCCTCTTTGAATCAATTTTCATTTTTTCCACAAGCTCCTTGAATTTATGAAACCTTGATGGAGAAGATCTCACATATTTAATGGCATTTCGAATGCCTTCAATACACTTGTGCATATCCTTCACACCATCAGAAACAATCAAATTTAAAATATGCGCACAACAACGCAAGTGCAAGAACTCCTCATCACAAACTAAACCATTCTAATGCCTTAAGACCCCCTTTAAAGATGCCAAAGCAGTGTCATTAGAAGAAGCATTATCAACTGTGATTGTAAACACCTTATCAATGCTCCAAAACAACAAGCATTTCTCAATTTCTTGAGCAATTGTTTCTCCCTTATGATTTTCAACTACACAAAAATTCAAGATTCGCTTTTGATATGTCCAATGCTCATCAATCCAGTGAGCAGTTAAGCACATATAATTGACATTTTGATTGGAAGTCCAAGTATCAGTAGTGAGGGAAACACGGATTTGAGATTTTTTAAAATACCTTTTCAATTTTCTAGCTTCTTCAAGGTACAACTTGTAGCAATCTCTAGTAACTGTCGCTCTTGAAGGGACTTGAAAGCGAGGTTCTAACCTTCTCATCATCTCTTTAAAACCATTACCTTCCACAACATTAAAAGGCATTTCATCCAATATCACAAATAGTGCAACAGCCTGCCTGCAATCGAGTTGATTAAATAGATGGTGACTCAAAGTTTTAGATGACCCTAGTTGAGAGCTCGATAACAAAGATTGTACCAACTTGTTTACTTTGTTCGGATTTTTGGGACATCTTTTTACATGTTTTCTCATTCCATTTGTCCCATGTCTTGTAGAATCACAACCAATTGTTGTTGGACAATATTTGCACTTGGCACGAGGTTCACCATTAGTTTTGTCCAGTGGCAATCTTTCAAAATGCTCCCAAACAGCTGATTTACGTCTCTTTTTTCCACTTTGTCCTTCATTTTTTGACTCATTTCCCTCATTTTCATCTTCAGTATCAGGTGATAAAGCATTTTCAAGATCTCTTTCTATTGTTTCAACATTTTCTTGAGTAGTGGGTGTGGTGTCCATTTTTCTTCACAATGCAAATTTAGCTAACAACAACAACAACCACCCTTAATTGATTAAAATCACATATTAAAATTCAAATAAGCATGCATAAAAATCAAGGGTGTTAAGTTTCCACAATCAATTTATGACATGCAAATAATTTAAATTATGTAACCAAACACTTAAAAGCCTAATTGTATATGTTCTAAATAATATATAATTGACACACTTTTTCAATTTACCGCATGATAAAATTGCTATGAACAGAACAGAATAGATAAAAGCAAGCAAAAAGGAACAACTAATAATGCATGTTGAGGGATTGAAAATAAAATCTGGTGCTTGCTTTTATCTGTTACAGATAAAATTGCCATGAAATCACTAAATATGCATTATTACTCAGATCATTGTAAAGGAAATTACTTAGATAAAAGCACCAGATATGCACTATTACTTTATCGTGCGTGAAGCCGTGAAATCAATGATTTACTGATGTTAAAATTTCAAATAAAACTGCAAAGGAACATAAAGCAAACAACTAACTAGCAACTCAGCTCATTGCAAATGCATATTAAAAGAAAAATATAAAACAAAAAAATAAATTTTTGATGGTGAAACGCACCAGATCTGAGGAGTGAGGATGACGAGGAGAGCGACGAAGGCAGCAACAAATCTGGGTCAAGGCGAAGCTGAGAATGGAAATGGAAATCTGAGGCAAAGCAAGTTTCTTCCTTCTTCGAGTCGCGTCATGTCGAGGTGTGAAGTGGAGGCCGAGATCTGGGTCTTGTTGCAGTTAATGTTGCTGTTCTGTCGAGGCGTGAGGCGGAGGGCAGAGGCCGTCAACTGGTCGGAGACCTGAGGTCTGTGTGGTGTGGCTCATTGGCTCTCCTCGGTCGGCGCAGGCGTGCAGCAGAAGATTGAAAGGAAAGGGAAGAGTGTAGACCGAAGTTGAACTTGAAAGTTGAAACTAAAATCACGCGTGTTCTGCTATTTTGTTTGGTCCTCGTGACTCATGAGCCTGACACTTAAATCAGTAAGGCATAAGCTGAAACTGAAAGAAAGCCTGAAAATAATGGTAAAAAAAAATAAATACATGTAAACGGGACGGGACGGGACGTCCCGATAATGGACCCGAGTCCCGTCCCGTCCCGTTCTTGTTTTGGTTCTGTCCCAAGAAAATCCCGTCCCGATTTTTTTCGGGCCGAGATAGACCCGTCCCAATATGATCGGGACGAGTACGGGCCGGTACTGGCCAATCGGGCCGGGTACAACTTGAGCACCCCTACCCCTCAATTATCTATTGCAATGAATTGAGGTTAGACCCATAATATATTATTAAGAATTGATTGGGTGATTAAGGTCCAGCATGCCAGGCGTGGTTGGAACCAAGCGGCTGATTTGATTGCAAAACGTGCACTTTCAGCACCGTCTGGATTTAATGGCTTTTTCCAACCTTCCCTTTCCTGAACTTGCTGGTATTGTGCAACAGGATTGGTCTAGGTGGAGGATAATTAGTTAGTTTTGTCTTTG